GTTGTTATTCTTTGCAAAAAGAAGCTGAGAACTTGTTTACTGATTTGTTTTTTATTAAAAGCTTTGTGTGGAAAATGCTATGCTAAAGAGCTCAAACCACACCAAGCGTCCGCTATTTTGAGAACCAAAAACAAGAAAAGAGAGACAGCCCATTTCACGTCAAGGGGCCTCCCTCCCATTTTTCTTAAAGAGACAGAGACACACTGCTCGCTCCCTCACTATCCATCCTTCGGTTCAAACAGTCTTGTACTGCCATCCTGTGGTCAAAATAGGTACTAAATTCAAATATGACCAACATTACTTCTTAAATTTGACAATAATTACTAATTATTGTCACATGTCAAACAATATTATCGATTATTGCAATAATTTCTGAGACAAGTAATCGCAAAATTTGTTATCACGACAGGCCTAGTTGTATAGCAGGGGCATCAAACTCACCTACAAAACGGGGCAAAAACCAACATCTTTCAGACCGAAGGCCCGGGCCGGGGTAGTTTCGGTCGATTCGTGACCTCCAGTCAGATACCTCACATCTTTTCTTGGTTACAGGTTCCTCAACAAGAGATATATTGGTCTCAGCTTTTATATCGGTTCTGTCGCTTTTACAGCATCAAAATCAACGGTTATGGAAATATTCTAATTATTTTTTTACATCCTACTTGGCCTACTGTTATGAGAAGTCTGCTCTAAGTGAAATGATAAAAGTATTTTGCTTTTAAAATATAATTTTGGGGGGCCAGATAAGACATTAACAAGAGCCATATTTGTCCCCCTGGTTCTTGAGCTTGGCACGTGCTGTAAAGGATCATCTTGAACTGAAACTGTCAATGAACTTGTAATAGATTTCTACATCAGTGATAATAGAAAAATTGCAAATTTTTTTACTTAAAATAAAGCAAAGAAGGCTAACGGGTTCTGCTCTATTGGAAAAACACATTTTTATACTATAATACTCCAGTTTGGAACAACAGATATGTTTCATATAAACCGCGGGGTACAAAGTGTGAGAAAAAAGTAGCAGTTTGTACATCGGCAATTACGGTAAATACTGTATGCTGTGCAGCTACTTCAACATCTACTACATGAACTACTTTTAGATGTTCCTTTCTAATGGATTTTTCTCGTAATTTTTTTATTTCTAGGGGCAGCTGTGGCTGAGTGATTAGAGCAGTTGTCCTCCAATGCGAGAGTTGGGGGTTCGATTCCACCAGCAGTTACATGCTGAAGTGTCCTTGGGCAAGACAATGAACCCCTCATTGCCTCTGATGTGTCCCATCGGTGTATGAATGTGATAAAGCGCTGATTATTCTTTGTATAGATCTAGTAGAGTGCTGTATGAATGGGTAAATGAGGGCACAGATTGTAGTGTAAAGAGCTTTGAGTATCTTGATAAGATAGAAGGGCACTATACAAGTACAGTCCATTAATATGACCATATTTAATTCTGAACTAGAGAGAAATAACAAAAATGTATCTCAGCTTTTATCTACAGGCAGGAACAACTTGACTTCTACATGATGTTCATTTTCCAACGCTTTTGATTTCTACAAGCTGAAAATATTTGGAAATTTATATAAACATTATAACTTCATCATCAGCACTACATTTCAGGATTTAAAAGGAGTTCACAAATATTTTGTATTCTATGTTGATTCTGTGTTTATATTTTGGACTTTGGTTTTACATCGTACAATTACAGTTCTTATGAAACAGTCGTCAGTTTTTTTTTCCCCATTTCCTGCTTCCTCCTCAGCGCTGTAAGCTATAAATGTCTTTCAAGCTCACCACATTGATTTACCCTTGAATTTTCCTGCTACTGGTGGTTTTCTGCTCTTAGCAGATTTTTTCCTCCTAAAGTCAGAGGGTTGTGTGAAAAATTTTGCATAAGTATACAATCTGGACTGCATGAGCTGAAATGTTTCCTGGCACATTCAAACTTTTGGAAAAAGCAGCTTCTGGTTTGAAAATTAAGCATCTGAGTTGCACATTTGTTAAAAGAAATTACCTTTACACTGAATAAATTTGCATTGTTTTATTTTAAGGAAGGGCTTGTCTAAATAATTGAGTACTAACTAGGACTTATGTACACAAAACTCGATCAAGATGAATTCAAGAAATGTTTTATGCACAATGATTAACTTCACCACTGCAGACTTAGTTTTATAGTCAGGATATAATCAGGTAACATCTTTACACCTTGAACCTTTAAAAATGACTCATCAATCTTATCTGAATCAAATTAATGTGAAGCAACATTGCGCCCAATACGCCAAAACAGCTAAGAAACGAGGTTTGTTTTTTCTTCAATCCACAAAAGTTTACAACTTGAAAAATCCAAGCCTGAGTGTCTCAAGTCACTAAACATCATCATGAAACCGGTCAAATATTTGTTCAAACTGACCAACCAGCTAGTATTCTTAAACCCAGTAACAGATATGTTACAGCTTTTTTTCACCGTTTCTAGGTATCAATGACTATGTAGAATGATCATAAATTATTCAAGCGATGATGTATGAAGGTCAAGGCCTCAGGTTGGTGAAGGAGGGCAAAGGAAAGCAATATCTCTTGGCACAGCCTTTAAAAAAAAAAAATCATTAAATCTGATCAAACATCCATCCATCATCTTTAGTCGCTTCTTCCTTTTCAGGTCGCGGGGTTCACTGGTGTCCATACCCAGCAGTCACTGTGTGAGAGGCTGGGGGGGGGACACCTGGACAGATCCAAGTTCATCACAGGGACACAGAGACAAATAACCATTCACACTCTCACGCTAATTTAGTTACCAGTTTGCTAACATGCATGTTTTTATTCTGTGTGAGGAAACTAGAGCAAAACGACGCATGCACGGAGAGAACATGCAAACTCCACCCAGAAAGGCTCCCAGCAGAGATTAGAACTGGCAACCTTCTCGCTGAGAGGCACAGCTCTACCACCTGAGCCACTCCTGATCAAATCTTTTGTGTTTTTTTTTTACATGTTCAGAGTGGACACTGGTTCAGATATCTAAAAAAGGAAATACGCTTTGAAATAGGATACCCATCATCTGGCTCATTTTGTTGTAATATTTTCTCAACAAAATGAGGACGAGTTTTCATCCTCTGGAGAGGAACTTTACATTTCTTCATTTCTGTATAGACTGCAACCTTCTCAATCACTTTTTGAGTGGGAGGCTAACGGCACAGTAGGAGGCTGGAGTCATTTCCCATCATCAACATGTAGATGTACGCACTGGTTAAACACTGATGGAAATGTCTTAGCAGCATCACAGAGCATCAAAAGAGTTATGAAGTCATAATCAGCAGCAGCTGTCAATCAATTTTGTAGAGCGAGATAAACATTTTCAAGAATCAAACGAAGAATTATTTCATTACGAATTTATCTTTATTCTTTATCTTGTCCCAGCTGAATTCATGCATTGTTTTCTGTAACTACAGACAAGATCATGAAACGTCATCGCCATCAAACGCATCATATTGTGTAAATTTTAACAAGATGGTTTTAATGTTATGACTATGCATGTTCCTCAGGGGGAAACTCAACCACCTTATTTAACTGCTTAAAAATACTATTTTAAAATATTTTTCCACAAAAAAATAGTCTTTTAGAGCTATCTCAGCCTGAAACATCTCATTTTAATTATTTATTTTATTTTAACTATTTAAGGGTGTTTGTTTACAAACTCTACACTAGTCTTTTTAATTGACAAACTACTTATTTTATGATCATTTAAAACAAAAGTATGTTTTCCTCCATTATTATGCACTCTGGATCAACATCCGCATCCTTCTCTGTTCTCCTTATTACGGTTTCCTTTTACAATTTATATTTTTGCTGTTTCTGGATGTAACGGGGACCCTGTGTACACTATTTGGTTCCACCTCATGTATCACATGTGATGCGAATGACAATAAAGAACCTTGAACAAAGTCCTCACTGACTCAGGCTGTTTTTCTCCTTCGTGATCCTCTCCTCTGTCTGAGAGGTTCTGACTCTGCAGATCCGTCCTCCTCTGGGTCCGCTTCACGTTCAAAAAACGTCTCGTTGTTTTGACTCGAACACACTACAACTGACTAAACTACACCCCAACTATAAAACCCAAACATGCTAAATATCACAAATATCTCAAACCTCATGACTCTCTCCGCTCTAACTGACTTAATTGCGCCAAACTCCATTCAACTTCCACGTCTTTTACTTCTTCCGGTAGATTTTTTGGTGCTTGACAAATAACTTCGGGCTTCAGTCAGAAAAGAGGGGGGGAGGTTGTTTATCTGTTTGGTGGAGTGGGAGGTGAAAGTGGAGGGTGATGGAGGTGTTTTGTCCCTGAAACTGCCCGTCTTTGCCATGGCCTCTCGCCCTAATGCATTTCAGATATGACGATTTTTCAGAAAAAGATGTGGCGTGGATCATTTATCATAACTCTGGTTTCACTTGGCCTCTCAACACGAGTTAAAAACTGTTGTGTAGTTTAAAGTCTGTAATTTTGACAAATTGAAAATGGAGTATTTAAAAGACCGTGTCTTTTTTTGCTAGAGCAACTGAAACAGGCCACCTGACTATCACGTGCCGATTGACTCCAAAGGAAAAAAATTGTCAGTCAGAGAAGGCAGCGCCAAACGCTTGAGTAGAAATCGCAGCCTGCCGCCTGTTATTGAGAAGAGATTGTGCTCTGCCTTGATTATTGACATGACAACTACTAAGTTCAATGTCCAAAGTTCCTCAATGATAAAAAAGGTTGTGGCTGTTTCTGACTAAGCTCTGATTTCCCCTGAGCATCAGCTGGCCTTGCAAAGAGAATTGACCTTGATTTCTTTCTGAAACAGATTAAATTGTCAGAACCATAAATGATTTGTTGAATCACCCTCCAGTGAGACAATGAGCTCTCCGCCAGGTGAGTCCACAGCTGTGACCTTTCCATTAAAACCCACATGTTCACACACATTTGTCATTTCATTATTAGGATAAGGAGAATCTGGTGATGGTGTTTTCATACTCACCGAAAAAACTGCATTTTGGAGCCCAAATGGTATTGGGGTAAGTCTTGCTAAGGCCACAATTTTGAGTCCACTTCCTCCTTCCACCACTCGTATAACAGCACTGAGCTGGTCACTGTTCCCAACTTTGCTCAGCACCCAGTCACTCAATAATCTTTTACATACCAGGTGTGCCACAAAAGTCCCTATTAAAACTCCCACCATTACAAGCCCCATGCCCAGCACAAAGCCGTAGAGATAGCCAGCTGCCACGTTGAGAACAATATATCCCCATCCACATGGAAATGACACGATGATCAAACCAACTATAAAGAGCATGGCTCCCACCAAGCTGTCCAGGCTCTCCACCCAGAGCAGAAGGTCCTTGAGGTACTGTCGCACAAGGGCAACTGAGGAGAAGCACACAGCTGTCAGGATGCATGCCAGCAGGGCGCTCTTGAAGCAGAAGGTGGTGATGCAGCAGGGGTTTCTGAACTCTCCACCGCTGCCAGTGAAGGTCGCCCCTCCAGTGTCAGTGATCACCTCAGGGTCCCCATCTGGCTTCCCAACACCAGCTCCCCTCTGGTCGAAGGCGCTGCATATCAGAATGTCATGTTTGTCACAGTCATCTGTGGCGGTCCTCTGCAGCCAGCGGTTCAGGTGAATCTGAGTCTTGCCCACTGCATGCTTTACAAGCTTGGTGACCAGCTGCACGGTCGTGGCCCCTGACGCAGACATGTTGGCCCTCAAATAAGCTCTGGGGACCAAATCGAAAAGCTCAAATGACCCGGACAGCTGTGATGACTTCCAGACAGATAGCCTAACAGAGGCGATCTGTTAAAGTGTTTATACTGGTGAATGATGGTTTCAGCAGTAGTAACCCATTGCTGTTCTACGTTGACAGCGCGAATAACACAAAAAGCAAGTTCTTGGCCATTGTTTGATGAATTATCCAGTGTGGTAATGTTTATCTTGGGTAAACTAGTTGGGTAGTATGCCAGTCCAGTGACTTTAAAGTGCAAGTTTTGCTGTCGGTGTCTCTAACACTCGCCATATTCAGAGTTGTCATCCGGACGAGGCTGAGTGAATTGATAGAAAAAGCCGTCAGGACTAATAAAAACCCACACTGAGAGGACACTAAAAGACGCGAAAGATCGTTTCCATCCAAGTCAAAGCACTAGCATAAATCAGTGCGAGGCTAACTTCCTACCGTCGCTGGCTAAATGAAGAAGAGATCGTTTAGTGGGATAAAGTCCACCGTCAAATGTCAGACCAAAAACCGCACTCAGTTGGCCCTCAGCGCCAACCCCAAGCCGACGGACACGAGCCATAAAACGGGCGCAGAAAAGCAGTTTGTCCTCTTCGCAGTCGCTTGCTGGTCTCGTCGCTTTCCTTCCACGGTGGACCGTGCTGCTGTTGTTGTCGCTGTTATTCATTCCAACCACTGTTTGTGTCCCAGAATGCCAAGTAACCTCAACACACACGAGCCACCGTTTGGCAATTCTTAACCAATCAGAGGGCGACGATTAGCCTCGCGAGATTTTGCGAGACTTCAGCGCGACCGTTTGTTTTTGTGATTTGTTAGCTGGCGTGTTGCTAACCGCTAACGTGACGTAATTGTGCTGCTGTTAGCCAGGAAATACCAACTTAAAACGCTTTTAATTTAACATTTTAATACACCTTTTTTAAGCTTTTATAAACACTTTCATTTATTTTCTCAAATTATTAACGAAAGGTGAGGTATGAGCGCCAACATGCAACCACGTTTTGTTTTTTCTTACAATATGAATACATAAACATCCTATTATTTTTGTCTAATATGATAATAATTTAACCTGTTTGATGTCTTAAAGTAACAGCCAAATAAAGGGATCATATACAATATTTAAGTAAAGTAAAAGTATACAAGAGCTAAAAGAAGTGAAGAGGATAAGACCTAGGATGATTGGTCCAAATTATATTATTGCAATATTTTTGTCTTTTAAAGTTTTGGGTGATTTTAAGGAGTCATAGACATTGTGGCTAAGCTTGCAAATCCAGAGCGGGTGCAATGAAATTAAAAATCTAAATTGAGTCTAATAACCAAATAAACTTTGGTTAAAAACTTTTGTTTTTATCTAATTTAATATACATTTTTACCACAGCCATCTGTTGTGTGGCTGAACTTATACAGAACAAATTTTCAAACGTGCAAACTACATTTATTATTTATTAACCTTTATTTAACCAGGCAAATCCCATTGAGATCACAGATCTCTTTTGCAAGGGAGGCCTGGACCTGATCACTTGGAGTTGTTAATTTACTGAAACGAGTTGTATTACAATAATTTTAAAAGAGACACATACTTAAAAAATATAATATTTTATGAGTTTCAACAAATATATCTCTAAAATATATCGATATGTCTCTAAAATAGATACATATGGATACAAATCAAGGCTAAAGCAGATGCCTCTTGCTTTTCCATTTGACAGGTGGTTGTCTTTTCAACACTTCGTTTCCCTAAAATATGAATATTTATGCATATTAGCTTTACTCCACCCTATTATTCTCTTTCTTTGTTTTTTTTAAACCATAAACTTTGTGTTTAAATTAGAGCAGCTACGAATTTAAATGGATCAGTCTATGTCCGTGTACGTTCATATTTTACCACTAGATGGAGCTGTTGCTAAGTTTTACTTTTTTATTAAACCGATGCTCAGCTTTGCTTTTCGCAGCAAAGTCGTGAAGTTTTAAAACAGCTAAAATAATCAATAGTTCATACAAATAAATTATTCATTAAATAGGACATATTAAACTAATGTGTCGTCATATTTAAACGTTTTCTTTGCATGTAATAAGGCATTTTAAAAATAAACCTTAAACATTTATTCCCTAAACCGTTTTCCCCCCATTTGCAGTGCAAAATGTTAGTACCTGCCATTTTAATGAATACTGTGAAAATAAAATTTAAATTTTTACTTTTAAAGCACAGAGTAAAAAGTATTAGGAATCTTTTTTTCAGATTGTTTGCTTTTAAAATGCCTCTGTTATAAATGTTCTATTAGAGAAGCCTTATACACTTATGCATGCTCACAACCACACACAAATAGAAGCAGGGATGCTTATGTAGGCTTTATATGTAGATATATAGATATGTATGTGAGTGTATATTCATGTGTATGTATGTATGTATGTATGTATATAGGCGTAGGTATGGGTATATATATTTATGGAAACTTACTGCAAAGCCATGAATATTTTAAGTTCTTTATACATATGTATTTTGTTGCTGTGTTTTGTCATGTTCTTTGCAGGTGAACAGACAGTGGCCGGGTGTTTTGACGTGTGCTCTATTTGTATATATTTCTTATATTTTGGAGTCTTACTTTGTCTTTTCTTTCTTTCTATCCTATTAAAAAAATAAATAAATAAAATAAAAATAAAAATAAAAAACCTACACTAGATAGTCACTATAATAAATATTTCATAATAATGGTGTGGAGAGGATGGCTGTAAGGGGAGAAGGGAGGCCATCAAAAAAAAAAAAATGCCTCTGTATTTTGAAATCACGTCTAAAATACATGTCTAAAGGGAGATAATGTCTTAGAACATCGTTTTGTTCGCGCTAAGTCGACCTCATTTAAGGTTTTTGTGCCCTCAACAAAAACTTTTCTAAATATAGCTCTCCTCCTGTCTTGGCAAATGTGTGCTGCTCGGTTGATTGCCATTGCCATATTAAACAAATTCAAGTTTATTGATTTTCATCTCAAAATATCTGCAAGAAAAGTTTTATCTATTAGTAAGATATTAGTTAAAGTTTAGAAACGTGTGTACCACGATTTTAAAGTTTATGAAAGAGCGCAAGACGCGCTCGTATTGGCGGAAATCGGTAGGATCAAAGCACCGGAAATACTTCAAAATAAAACCACACTTAACGACTCTAATCTCGGAGTGTGTAGGACTAATGTGACAAAACGCAACTAAAACTACTCTAAGACTATAAAATAATTTCATGGATTAAATTTAAACCAAATTATGTGTTTAAACTTTAAAACATTCTGAATAAATTGTCAATAAGAGGCACTTCCGGCCGGAAGTTGTGTCAGATTGTGTGTGGCTTTACAACAGCGCAGATTCGTGTTTTTTCCTTCAGCAGCCTCAGTGATCAGTCGGACACATTCCTGAAGCATTTCTGCAAATGATGGATTGTTCAGAGGAGGTTCAACCCGTGCCTGAGGAGCCCAGCACTCAGATGGAGCTCAAGAAGGGAATGTCCATTTTTATTGATGTAAGTAAACGTTTTATCATCTCCTAATTAAACGGCAACAACTTGAAATCTACTGTTGATGTTTATTTAATATATATATATATATATATATATACTGCATAATAACCCATAAAATAAATAAGCTAGATGTAATTTTAAATAAATATAATTATAGGAGACACATTACCACCTTTTCAGATTTGTTACTGTATGCATGTTCCCTTTTAAACAAATAATTAATTTGTCAGGGTTGCCCTTTACTGAGCAATATGGTTTAATGTATTTTCAAAGGATGTTCACACTCAGTCATTGGGTTCACTAATGTGTAGAAATGCCCTTGATTTGATCAAAGCCAGTCAGTTCTTGATCTTATTAGCTCTAATTTATTAAAAGTAAATGCATAATTTTGACTGATTTTTAACACCTTTTGAGGTTAAAATCTTTAATTGAACGATTCCATCATCTTCACGAGAGCTGAAATATTCACTTGTGATGATCTGAGCAGATGGCCTTATGGTAAATACTTTTTTGTTTATTCACGTTGGTCTAAAATTTAGATTTTGTGACAGAAAAACTTATTTTTTATCTGAAAACCCATAAACCAGAAACAAACTAAAGCACTCTAATGTTTTGCTGTTATTGTTTTTTGTTTGTTTTCATTTGAAATGTCTTGCGTGTAGATTTATGTCTTGCATTTGTAGATTTATTTTATGTTGCCATCTGTAAAACGTTGACTTGAATGAATATGAGGGAGAAGATATTTTTAGTTATGTTTGAGCAGTTTAAAGCCGTCATGGTCATTGCCAGACTCTCTTTCATCTGCTGTGGACTCTGGGACGAAACTATCAATAATTCAACACCACATCACTTTTGCAAGTGTGATCAATGATCACACTCACATTGCAACTTTGATGAAGTGCCATCTTATTTTTTTCGTTTGACATCCCTCTCTTCTCTTTCTCGTTACAGATTCTGCGGAGAGCGGATAAAAACGGTACGTTCCCCCCGACCTCCATGTCAGTTTCACCAACAATCACCCGCTGTTCGGCCTCTAGTATCACATCAAACCTTGTTTCTCGTGTGTGAAAGCAGATATACTTTCTCAATGAAATTCCAATCATGACTCTCTGCTGATATTCTGTCAGTTTCCATGGAAACAGGAAACTGACCATGCCTGTCTAGGTTCTGTTTCTGAGCAATAATGGATCAAAACAAAAACAAATTGGACAATTCAGAGCCGCTCGTATCACGGTAGTCCTTAGAGCTGATTAAATGGAGGTTAAAGGCATAGTTTGTTGGTTTTAACCTGCTATTTTATGAGCAACATGTTCACCAAATGAAGGATGTACAAAAAAATAAAAACAGCAGACATGAGAGCTCAAACACCAAAACATCAAAACCAAGACATGACAGCAATTCAGTGAATCTCTGGTTTTTAATAAACGTGCATTTGTTGTTGTTTCATTAAAGCTTGGTGAGGCTGTGGTTGCTCAGTGGTCAGTGCTGTGGTCTTGTAATTCTGAGGTTGCAGGCTCAAGCCCAGGTTGCATCAGGAAGGGCATACGACATAAAACATTTGTCAAATCTTTCATGCAAGTTTGCTCGCTGTGGTAACCCCTGAAAAAGGAGCAGCTGAAAAATAAACGTGCATACCTTATTAATTCCATAAAGTAAAGCTGAGTGATACAGGTTGTGAAAAAGTATTAGCCCCCTTAAAATATTTTTTTCAGTTTGTACTCTTTTGTCACACTGGTGTTTCAAGTTTGAAAGCAACTTTATAAATTAGACTAAAATAACCAGAGTAAATACAGACTCATGAATTAAATCAAGAATTAACTGTGATTTTTTTTTATTTATTTGGCCTAATTGCTAGCAGACGTGTAGAAGCCAGATATCATGTAAATAAAGCTGTTGTTCACAAATGGAGAAAATGTGAAACAGTGCTGAATCTTCCCAGTAGAGACCAGCAGATCATCATAACTCCGAAGGATCAACAACTCATCCAGAAGGTACCAAAAGAACCAGGACCACATCTCTGCAGGCCTCAGTTGTCTAAGGTCAGAGTTCAATGATAAGAAGAGACTAAAATGGACTCCATGTCAGAGATCCAAGGAGAAAATCACTGCGGAGTCAAGAGAACACAAAGTCCTGTCTCATATGTGTATAAATACATAAGTAAGCGAGCAAGTAAGTAAGTTCCGGTAAGTAAGTAAGTAGGTACTGGTAAGTACTTTTGTACCAGTAAGTAAGTACCAGTAAGTAAGGAAGGAAGTACAAGTAAGTAAGTAATTACCAGTAAGTAAGTAAGTACCAGTAACTAATAAGTAAGTAAGTAAGTACTGGTAAGAAAATAAGAATGTGTTAGTAAGTAAGTAAGTACCGGTAAGAATGTAAGTTAGTAAGTAAGTAAGTACTGGTAAGAAAATAAGAATGTGTTAGTAAGTAAGTAAGTAAGTAAGTACTGGTAAGAATGTAAGTTAGTAAGTAAGTAAGTAATCTTGCTGAGCCCCAAGGTTTTGTTGTAAAATCTTCTGTGGACTAACAAGATAAAAATGGATGTTTTGGAAGGTGTGTGTCCGTTTACATCATGGTCAAACATGGCGGTGGTAGAGTGATGGTCGGGAGCTGCTTTGCTGCTTCAGGTCCTGGACAACCTGCTATAATAAATGGAATCCTGAATTCTGCTCTCTAGCAGAGAACATCCTGCCATCAGTTCATCACTTCAGTCCTGCAGCAGGAAGACGAGCAGAAGCTCAGCAGAAACATTTCTCTACAGAACAACTCGTCCCCAACGCTTGAGTGCAGTTTTCCACCTTTTAGGTTTAGGAGGCCTTTACGTTTTCACACAGGGACAGGGTATGGGAGAGCTGTCACCCCTAATAAATGAAAACCTTGTTTAAAACTTGGATTTTATTTTTATTCAGGTTTCCTACATCTCATATTAACATTTGTTTGATCATCTAAAATATATTGGTGTGACAAAAAAGCAAAAACAGAATAAATCTGTAAGTGGGCAAATGCTTTTTCACAGGCAACATTATTTCTGATGGTGCAAAGTTTAATGTGACATTTTGGGGGAACTGTGTGCACCAAGGTGTAGAAATCACATGATGAAATTGTGGCAAAACATTGAAAAGACTTCAGGGTGAATCTGTGTCTTGATAATGATAAGAGGCTTTGTTGGTTACAGATAACACTGACTGAGCTGCATGTTAACCACCCAACAAACAGTAGACATGTATCCTGTTGAATCTTCAAACAGACACACTGTTTGGGGCTTAAAATGCACCGACTGGAACACAGATGATACGAAGGAGATGGTTTCTTCACGCAGGAGCTTAAAAAGCTTGAGAACATGCACACAGTTTGCAAAACAGACACTTAAAATAAGAGATCCCAACGAAGCAGGAGGGAGTCCATCGTGTGTTCGTTGTCCTTTCCCCAAACATTCATAAAGCCAAATGTATTGATTAGTTTCATTTATGAAATGTTACACAAATGCAGCTTCTGTGTATCATTACTCACAGGAAACTGCACAGAAATAAAACAAAAACTGAACCTGACACCGAAACAGACGTGTTTTATTCTTTTGTGCTCTCGTTTTGGACTGAAAAAAACTCAAAATCTGTGCAGAGACACGTTTACCACCTCGTTGCATCATCTCTGTTTTGTGAGTGCACTGAAACTGCAGTCGTTTTTTTTTTTTTGTACAGTTAGTTTCATTAACTGCATGACAGAATGTGCTGCTGCACACATCGTTCAGCGCTGACGGTGCCCTCACAGATGTGTGGCGAGCGAATGCCCCTCGTGAATGTTGGCTTTTGAATTGCGCGGTGAGAACAGGCCAGATGGTCCCTCTTCTCTTCAGCCTGGAGGACCGACATCCATTATTTCCTAAACGAACATGAAGGTTTTACTTGTTAGACCATGGAAGCAGTTTTCTACTCCAGCTCCGTCCATCTTAAAGGAGCTCAGAGACGCCAGCTGTGATTCTGGATCTTCTTCGTGTTCGTTGGAAGTCTTGTGCCTTGTGGATTTCCTGTATCTCGTTAGGAATTTATTTACTATGATTAAAAATTGTAAATTGAGGTGTTTTTTTAAGGATGTACATCTACAACTGATGAAGAGGAGACAATCCAAATCAAGATGGCCGCCAAAATCAACTGACTTTAAAATACAAAATAAGACAAATAAAAATATCTCTAGCTCAGTCAGTTTTACAGATATTCACCTAAAGTTTGGTGTGGTAGTAGCTGAGACTGATCTCCAACACATATGCTTAGCATTACCTGTACGGGTCAACCTTGTTAGCAAAATATCCTTTCAACCACTGGACAGATTTTAACGAAACACTCAAAAAGTAAATATTTGATGTGCATCTACAACTGAGTAAAGTTTGGATTTAATTCTCTAATGCTAACTGTGAAAAGAAATATATTGGAACATCCAATGGAATTATTACATTAAAACATCAGGAACATATTTTTTTTACACAAGTGCTTATTTTAAGCAGTTTTTTCAGCAGTTCTGTGATCATTCTGGTCATGACCTGTAAAAACACCAAATTTAAAAACCAAGTGGACTTTCTTTCAGTCTCAGATCTCAAGAGAACATCACTATCTGTTAATAATCCTCCCAACACCGGAGGATCTGAGGGCCCTTCGGGCAGCAGAAGTCATCCCACGTGTTCGTTTTCCTCGTTGCACAAAGGGCAGCATTTTCCCGTCGAGCTGAGCCTTTTTCTGAGCTCCTAGACCGTGAGTCACCGTACGTTCCCTGTAACGCACGTGCTGCACGACAGTCGCACTGAACATCAGCTTCACAGCAGGCCGGCAGAGAACATCCGAAGATCAGCCATAAAAACACGTCTGGATCTTCTGTGCGTTCGGTGTTCCTCGTGAATTATTGCTGCTGATATTTTATCCTTGTGAATATTTTGCACTTCTTCATTGTATTCACCGTGGAGCCTGCGAGCATGAAATTGTCTGAGATGGTGTTCACATTAGTCTAAGCAGGAGATGCTGATAACCCTGATGCTATTCTCATTTTGACCGTTCTTTCATCAGTTTAGTCCCTGTTGTTCTAATAGTTTTCCAAAACTTAAAAATATTTAAAAAGTACATTTTCAAAAATAAACTTAACAAACCCAATCAGAAATTTCTGTGACCACCTTGCCTTCCATATTCTCAAAATAGAAGGAAAAAAACAAATCAGTAAAATTTAAAATACAACCTAGCTTTCTTCAACAGAATATCTAACCTTTGTCCCTCCTGGCAAGCCACCGTTTGACAGACCAATAATGCATAACCAATAAAATAAAATAAAATTCTGCATGCACAGTGGGACATGAAAATAACAGGATCTCAAAAGAACTGAAGAACTTTAAATGTGGAAGTGGCCAAACTGCATAAAACAATGTTTTTATAGAAATAATCCACGTTGTTCCCCTAAAAAAACTGTTGCCAATAATAATCTTTCTTCTAACAGGAAAATAATGCAAAAATGAATTTATAAAGAGATAGTTCAGATCTTTTGCAGTGGTCATTGGAAAGGCAATGAAAAACCAATAACCTTTGTAGAAAGCTTTGTGAACAACCCCAGTTTAATTAATTAAAAGAAATCCCATCAGTTAATCTGAACACCTCTTTTGACCTTTAAACCGCCACAGAATTTACATTTCATAATTGTTTTGTCAGAAATAATATCTATATAAATAATGTATCCACAACAGGTAAGATATTACTTGTTCACCTCAATAGATCTGAAACTTTGCTTTAATAAAGGCTGAGAGAATAAATCTGTGCACTTCATAACAGTTTGCTGACTTTGTGCCAGATGAGACTGTCTTGTCTTTTTGATCTCGCTTTGAGAAGATTTGTCTCTTCGTCCCCAGATGATGGAAAGCTGTCCTTCGATGAGTTTAAATCCTACTTCTCTGATGGAGTCCTGACAGCCGAGGAGCTGAAGGAGCTCTTCCACACCATCGATACTCATAACACAGAGTGAGTCGAGTAAATGCTTCACATCCGCTGGCAGACGATAATGTTTGTGCTGTGAGTGTTTTAGCAAAATATCTCACGAACCACTGGATAAATTTCAATAAAGCGTTCAGGAAATAATCAGTGGATGTACATCTACAACTAAATAACTTTTGGAGTCAACCCAATTCAACATGGCCACCACAGCTAACTGACTGTTAATGTTTTTTTTTTGTTTGCTTTAATTAGGAGTGGTGAGTCTCCATCTCATTCAGGAAGTCACATTAAATTCCAACATTTTGATGGTTTCATCAGTCGAAAGACAAAAATGCAACAAGCTGGCATGTTGATTTTTAATACTGTATGATTATTTAATAGTATTTAGTATATTCAGTATTCCAGTTTAGATCATTAAGACGATGTTATATTAAAAAGTTAATCAGCAGCTTCAATTTATTTTGTAACGTTTAAAGACACACACATCATTATCCTCGCAGAAAGTTTCCCCTTTTTTTTAACAAACTCTTTCTGCAGTGGAAACAGGAAGAAGCTGAGGGTGACGCTGGTAAAAAGCTGTTAAAAAGTCTTAGATTGTCTCTTGCACCAATTAAAGAACGAGTCGTGAGGCTGTCGGGTCTGCAGGAGAGCATCCTCTGGCTGATCTGCAAACGTTATTCAAACCTTCTCCTTTTAAAAATAGACACAGCAAAGATGTGCTAAAAACTTTTACCTAGTAAGATTTAAATGATGTACGTATTTTTCTGTGCATCTGGAGAAATTGTAAAAACAACAGAGAAAACTTGAACTGTCAGTTGAACCTCAGATTTTGTCTCAGTGTTTATTTCTTTACATACACAGATTTTGGTGCCAGCGTGGACAACAATATCTGTTTGGCACAGAATTAAAACCAGTAAAAATCCCCAAACTGTCTCTTTTTAAAACAGTCTATGTATCCGAATTACTAATATTATGAAAAATAGTCCTGATTTTTTTTGTTTACCACTTCCAGACTCACGTGTTCACACTCAGACCTCCTTAAAACACAAACTCAAATGACACGGTTTGTTCTCTTTTTCCTTAAATATCTCCGAAAAATAGATTCAAAGCATATTTTTGCTTTGTTCAGTTTGGCATCACGCCAACGTTTTATCCAACAAACGTCTGTGCATGAAAACTTTTTTTAAGGACTGCATCTACTCATTTGACCCTTAAAAACTTGAGAAGTTCTACTTAAAATCTCCTGTTTGTTGTATTTTTTTCAGCAACTTGGACACCGATGAACTTTGTGGTAAGTTCAGTCGTCTAAACTAGGGTTAAACTAATAAGAATTAAATTATAGAAGCTGTTTTGTCGACGTTCTCTGTGAAATACACTTCGCTGTTCTTTGACATTCTTATGATTGTTTGTTTTCCCCTGCGTTTTCAAGAGTACTTCTCCCAGCACCTCGGTGAATACGAGAATGTCCTCGCAGCTCTGGAAGACCTGAACATGTCCGTGTTAAAGGCGATGGACAAAACAAAGAAGGTAAGATGAAGTAAATGCCTGGATTGTTCATATCCAGACATAAAATAAACCAACATGAAGGAAATGGTGCAGATTTAATTCTGAGTTCTAAAACAGAGATTGCATATTGCTTTCAGTGGGTGCCGGTCAGTTTGTACCTTTGACAAATCAAGCTACCAATTCACACCCAGAATTGTCATGTACCCACCGGTGGATGCTTTTGAAACAGCTGGGAACAAAATAGCTGTCACTTCAGTTAGGGTGGGTTTATTTGTCATACGCAGAATCAACACAAGGTCAACAATGCAATGAAATGCTCAGGACGAGAAGAAACATCTTGACTCGTCAAAAAACAAACAAAAAAAAAACAAAGTATGCAACAGAAATACAGAACAAGGCGCCAAAAAAGAAAAATGAATACATCTAAAGCAGCATAGTCCTATTCGCAGAGTAGTTCTGTTGGCAGTGAGGTTCTCTTAGCAACATGGTCCTGTTAGAAGCATTGTACTGTTAGCAGTGTGGTCCTGTTAACAGTATGGTACTTTTAGCAGAGTGGTGCTGTTGGTAGTGAGATTCTCTTAGCAACATTGTCCTGTTAGCAGCATGGTACTGTTAGCAGTGTGGTTCTGTAAGCATCATTGTCCTATTAGCCTAGTGTTTCTGTTGGTAATGAGGTTCTCTTAGCAACCTGGTCCTGTTAGCAGTGTGGTTCTGTTAGCAGCATGGTCCTATTAGCAGAGTGTTTCTGTTGGTAGGAGGTTCTGTTAGCACCATGGTCCTGTTAGCAGTACGGTACTGTTAGCAGTGTGGTTCTGTTAGCAGCATGGTCCTATTAGCAGAGTGGTCCTGTTAGCAGCATGGTCCTATTAGCAGAGTGGTCCTGTTAGCAGCATGGTCCTATTAGCAGAGTGGTCCTGTTAGCAGCATGGTCCTATTAGCAGAGTGGTCCTGTTAGCAGCATGGTCCTATTAGCAGTGTGGTTCTGTTAGCGGCATGGTCCTTTTAGCAGAATGGTCCTGTTAGCAGCATGGTCCTATTAGCAGAGTGGTCCTATTAGCAGCATGGTCCTATTAGCAGTGTGGTTCTGTTAGCAGCATGGTCCTATTAGCAGAATGGTCCTGTTAGCAGCATGGTCCTATTAGCAGAGTGGTCCTGTTAGCAGCATGGTCCTATTAGCAGTGTGGTTCTGTTAACAGCATGGTACTGTTAGCAGTGTGGTTCTGTTAGCAGCATGGTCCTATTAGCAGAATGGTCCTGTTAGCAGCATGGTCCTATTAGCAGAGTGGTCCTGTTAGCAGCATGGTCCTATTAGCAGTGTGGTCCTGTTAGCAGCATGGTACTGTTAGCATTGTGGTTCTGTTAGCAGCATGGTCCTATTAGCAGAATGGTCCTGTTAGCAGCATGGTCCTATTAGCAGAGTGGTCCTGTTAGCAGCATGGTCCTGTTAGCAGTGTGGTTCTGTTAGCAGCATGGTCCTATTAGCAGAATGGTCCTGTTAGCAGCATGGTCCTATTGGCAGTGTGGTTCTGTTAGCAGCATGGTCCTATTAGCTTAGTGGTCCTGTTAGCAGCATGGTCCTGTTAGCAGTGTGGTTCTGTTAGCAGCATGGTACTGTTAGCAGTGTGGTTCTGTGAGCAGCATGGTCCTATTAGCAGAGTGGTCCTGTTAGCTGCATGGTCCTATTAGCAGAGTGGTCCTGTTAGCAGCATAGTCCTATTTGGGAGTTAGGTTCTCTTAGCAACATAGTTCCGTTAGCACTTCACACCCATGCATTGACCAAATGCATATTTTTCCACATGCACATGACTCTGCACACCTATGCATGTATCACTGTAGGCACGAGCTCCAGGAGACGCTTCACAGGATCAAGCTTTTTAGTTAATTTCAGCTGTTTTTCTGCAAGTTGTTCTGTAATAAGCATTCACATAATTTCTCTAGTTTTAAAATTACATTCAGAAATCTAGACGGCTTGGGGATCTCAAATTTTGACAGATTTATGGTGCATTTGGTGCAACAATTGCCACAAATAAGAAGAAAATGCATAAAATGAGCTCAAGTTTGATCAGTTTAGTGATTAAACTAAAAGATGGCTGTGTTCTCAGACTGTTGTTGCCTCAGACCTCCCAAAAGTCAGATTTCCTCTACAGAACCTAAAAGAACAAACTGGGTTATACTCATAATAATCTGAGCCAAACAATGTCCAAGCTGAATTAAATGCACTGTTCCAGCTTTACCAAATAAACTGGCCTTTAATGGGAACATACAAGATCGTTATATTGTTACTGCAGATCTGACTGACACAAGAGGAGAATAAAGATGAAGGTGGAAAAGAAGAACTAAAGCAATGACAGAATAGAGACGACAGATGAGGACATAAGATAGAAAGGTGACAAACTCAATCTTTAAGAGGAGCTTCTTTCCTTCCACAGTTTCATTTTTCAGCGTCTCATCGGGCACATTATGACACATGCTGTGAAGCTCAAATCAGCCCTCAGATCGGCACAGAAGTCGACACATCTCACCGCGGACACCGCGTGGGAGGCAAAGCATTCATTTGTCAGTTGTAGTTTTTTTTTTTATAAGCACAGAAAGTAAGTGACAAACGTAGACAAGCAACATACAAAAGAGAAGACAAATGGTCAAGCTCTGGTTTAGAAAGAGTTTAAATAAGCACGCAAATGGGTGATTGCTAATCATTTAAAAGCGCTAAATCTAAAAACTTTCATAGTGGTTCATGTAGCGTTTAAACCTTTACTTGAGGCTTTCACAGTAATTCACTTTGAAAGATCTGAATTTATCCAACACTTGTGTAAAAAAAAAATCGATATATATTTACATTTATGGGCTAGGCAAAACCTCCCCATTGTTTTCCAGTTCAAACAATGCCTCTGCTTTGAGAGACAGATGGAAAACAGGTTTTAAAATAGACCTGGAAAAGGCCAGAATTGAAATGAAACAGCAGAAAAGAGGTTTTGTCCTTTCAGAAATAAAATGATTCGTTTCACTCTGAACCTTCAGAAGTTTTCAGACGTCTCACACAGGAAAAATAGGACCCTAAACGCTCTCTTATTCTGCCTCGTGAAACGCTTCACGGTTCCCTCTGTGATGGTCGATATTTGACCTCAGCTGAAAGAAAATTACTCTGCACATTCTGCACAGAACTGCCAATAACTAAATAAAGTAGAGAAATTGCATTTCCTTTTGTGAATACTTATTGCTGAAGAACTTGTTGAAAAACAGCTGAAATTAGGTAAGAGACATGCTGAAATGTTTCTGAAATGAAAGAACAAGCCTAAGTTAGCAGAACAAAAGCAGAACAAACACATATTTGCTGAATTAAATGAGCCCCAAAATTAGAAAATTAGCTAAAAAGCTGAAATTAGCTAAAAATAGCTGAACAGTAGCTGATAAGGCAGAAAGAAGTTAAACTACCAGAAGGAAGTGAAAGCAGATGAAATTAGCTTAAAAATGTGGAATTGGCTGAAAAAGCTAAATTTAGCTCAAAGCCAGCTAAATAGTAGCTGAAATAGCAGAAAAAGCTGAAACTAACAGAAATATACTGAAAGGAGCATAACAAGCTGAAATTAGTAGAAAAAAGTTAATAAGGCTGAAAGTGCCAGAAATTACCATGAAAACTTGAATTTATTTGAGAACAGCTAAAATTAGCTAAAGAATGCTAAAACGTGAGCTGAAAAGACAGAACAAGCTTAAACTAGCAGAAGTGGAGAGAGCACAATTTTTCCACAATAGGCTGAAATAAGTAGAAATGAGCACAAAACAAGTGGAAATTATCTGGAAAAATCTGAAATTAGCAAAAAAAACAAAAAAACCAGCTGATAAGTAATTAAAAAAGCAGAAAGAAGCTTAACCTATCAGAAGTTAAGTGGAGAGAGCACATTTTTGCTGAAGTAGGCTGAAAAGTGTTGAAACCAGCGCAAAAATGTTGAATTATCTGAAAAAGCTAAAATTAGCATCAAACAGCTAAATGGTAGCTGAAATATCAGAAAAAGCTGAAACTTTCAGAAATAAGCTCAAAGGAGCAGAAACAAGTTAGAAGAAGCACAAAAATGTTGTAGTTAGGAGAAAGAATCAGAAAGGAGCACAAAACAGCTAAAATAACAGCTGAAATTAGCTGAAAAAATGTGGAAATTTGCACAAGGAAGCTGAAAGAAGCTGAACCAGAATGAAATGTGAAATTTGTAGTAAAAGGCTGTAAACAGAACTAAAGATATGAAGGAAGTAAAATGAGTTCAATTCATTTTCTATGAGAAAAAAAGGGCAGAAAAGGCTAAATATTTCAAAAAGCTAAAGTTGCACCAATACCAAAATAGCACCCTTCTCTTGGACGAGCTGAGCACAAAAATTGTGGAACGAGAAAGATGCCAAAAAACGTACAGAAGAAAAATGGATCACAGTAGTGTGAATGCTTCATAGACATTCACACAATAAAAGGATCACTACCAGGATGAAAACAAGATTTCACACTTCTGTTGTCTTCTCATGCCTTTTCCTGGAATCACAAAACGTAAAAATGCCACAAATACATTTTTTGAACGTAAAGATGAATCATAACCTAAAATTAAAAAAAAAAAACTGTGCAATCCACCATGTTTTCTGTCTGTAATTGGAGCAAAGAGGCAAACAGATGCTGCATTAGTCACAGGCTAAAGCTTGGTCTCTGCTGAACTCTACATGTATTTCAGTGGGTGGTCTCTGGCTGTGGATGTGGGAGGATCTGTGTGTGTGTTTAGACTCACAAGGTGTACTAGAGGAGGGTTTTTGCTCTGATGACTGCAAGCTAATTTATGTGCATGTATGATAAATTCATGCACATGTGCGTGGGCACGACAGGAGGCGGATCGAAATCAAAGGCAGATTTATTTACAGCACGGGCCTGATTAGTGTCACTGTGGATTTTATTTGGGTTAGACATTTGTGCCAAAGGCTATAAGTCCTGAAAATAATTTTAAAAAGTGGCCTGATGCTGACATGCAGGGGAGACACTAACATAACAAATAAAC